GCCAGCAAGGAGGAGAAAAATAAATTCTACTCCTCAGTCTGCATTTTGAATCCCAAGTAGAAAATTGTAGTAAGTACAAACAAGTTGATGCAACCACTATCTTAGAGGTTTATGCAAATAACTTTCCCAAATGGATCATAAGCTAGTATGTACTATAGTCTGTAGAGGGTCAAGATCTGTATGTCCAGAAGTGTGGAGACAAAAGAAAAATGACAACCTTTAATGGATTTAGTATTGAGCTTAATTTATCACCTGGCAGTGTAATAGGTGAGGTGTGCTTTGAAGCTCTATGGAACAACAGTAACTTAAAAAAATGTACATTTTTTTTATTGATTTGAGAGAAAGGAAGGGAGAGGGAGAGAAACATCAATGATGAAAGAGAATCATTGATCAGCTGCTTCCTCTATATGTCAGCAACCCAGGCATATGCCCTGACCGGGAATCATACTTTGACTTCCTGGTTTACGGGTTCACATTCAACCATAGCCACACTGGTCAGGCTATAGTAACTTATTTTTAATGACTATAGCTTGGGTTTTCATAGACTTTTTTTTTTTCTTCTAACATTCCTAGGCGCATCCTAAAATAAGTAGCATTAAAACATGAAGAAGAAAAAAGAAAGAAAATGTCTTGCTTTTTAATCTTTAATGACAGTACAGTACAGTACAGTGGAATTTTTTTAGATTCCAGTTTTAACTCAGGATTAACAATTTATCCCTCTCAGTTGCAGTTTCTAATGTGAAATAAGGACAATAAGGTTAATCCTGTTGTATTTTTATGTAAGACATGCACTAAGTGAATATCCAGTGACTGTTACTTTTCCCTTCTGCTTAGACATAAATAATATTTTGATTAGAAAAAGGTGCCCGCTCTGGGAAGACACAGTGTCACGAGTATGTGGTTTGGCCATCGGTTAGTATGGGATCAGTAGAAGGCTCTTCTAGCTCCAGGCTTCCTCACGCCAGGGCCCACCTTAGTGAATCAGAGAGCTGGATTTCAGTTCCTACCTCTTGGGAGCTCCAGGCACAACCATATGTGGCAGTGCTGTATACATGATTGTCCAGAGGTGACCATCAGGACAAAGAGCTTTCCTCTAGAGAAAACAGCAAGTGCAAAGGCCCTGAGATGGGGGTCAAGCCTAATGGACTTGGGGGACACAAAGGCCCCTAGGTTGAAGATAGAGGGAAGATTGATAGAAAGTGATCACCCTTCGGAAAGGTGAGCAGGAGCCAGATCTGTTTCCTGCAGGACAAGGATAGGGGATTGTATTGTGTCCTAATTGTACAGGAATCCACTGGAAGGTTTCATACATAATCTGATTTCTGTTTTCAAAAAGTCATTCTGGCCATTATACAACCAAGATGTAAGGGGTAGAGTGTGGGCAGAGAGGCCAGGAGAAGGAGGCTGTGGGAAGGATGAGGTGCTTTCTTCAGGGTAGTGATGGAGAAAGGAGAGGTATGGGAAATATTCTGGAGGCGAGCACCACAGAATCCCACATAACAAAAGGCCAGGGACCATAAGTGTAACGACTGGAACGACCGCTTGACCAGTCACCATGAGGTGCATTGACTACCTCTTGGTCCCTCCTCACCAACCCCAGCCCACGAGGGCAGCAGGGTGGGATTGGTGACTGGCAACTGGCAAGCAGGCTGAATGGCTGACCTCTTGGTCCCTCCCCCCAGCCTGCAGGTTCTGATGGATCAGTGATGGTGAACAGGAGAACCAGGGTGGGTGGCTGGAGGACCCAGCTGGCTGTCAGGCTGTTGGGATCCTCAGCTCATCTCCAGCTGCTTGGGGCTCAGGCAGGCGGGAAAGCGGGACCAGTGACTTTACCTCCATGTGTGTGTGCTGGGCTGGCCACTGATGGAATGCGCTGCCTGTTCAGGGCTGCTCACATGGGCACTGCCACCAGGGCTTGTGGCACTGATGGAAGCTGCAGGGTGCACCCATAATCTACCCGCCCCGGCTGCACTGGACCTCTAGTTTCTTGATAGATTTAAAGGATGTAAAGAGAAGAGGAATTCAATATGACTCCTTGGATTTTGGCTGGAGCAGCTCGGGTGACGGCACTGCCATGTACTGGAAGTTAGGAAGACTAGGTAGGGGTGTGTAGGTTTGAACAGGTGGAATCAGAGTTCTGGAGATGTTAGGTGTGAGATTATTATTAGACATTCAAGTGGAGATTGCAAGTAGGCATTTGGAAATATGAGTGTGGAACTTTAGGTCAAGGCTAAAATGATAACTGGGACTCATCAGTTTATAGATATTATTTAAAGCCATGGGCTGGATGAGTTGATCCAGAGGAAGTAGAGAGCAGCCAGGACAAAGCCCCATGGTGCTCTTACTTATAGAGGTTGGGCATAGGAGGAAGAGGTTGCAAATTGAGAAGACAGGGGGAGATCTCAAATGGCACCCAGAGCTGTATGTTGTACTTGCCAGGGGGCTACTACAGAGACCAAAGATAATGGCCTCTGTGACAGCACTGTCCTTTGGAGAATAAACTAATTTGCTAAGTGATAAGCACTTGGCCTCTGCAGCTGTCTGATCAGTGTTTACTTTTGTTGCTTTTACCTACTTTGCTAATTGTATATAAAATTATGCACAATAGTTGTTAATTTGTACTTATAAACCCAGTACTAGTTTGCCATTTCCCCTTGTTATATGAGCATTCTGTTACTACCTTTGAGGCTGCTTATTTATAAGGACTAGTGGCCTGGTGCTCGAAATTCGTGCAGGGTAGTGGTCCCTCAGCCTGGCTTGCACCTTCTCCAATCTGGGACCCATTGAAGAATGTCCTACTGCTGGTTTATAGGGATCAGGCCTAAACTGGCAGTCGGACATCCCTCTTGCAATCAGGGACTGCTGGCTCCTAACCGTTCACCTGCCTGCCTGCCTGATTGCCCCTAACTACTCTGTCTGCTGGCCTGCTAGCCCCCAAGTGCCCCAGCACCAGCTTGATCAACCCCAACTGCCCCCCCCCAGCCTGATCACCCCCAACTGCCCCCCCACTGGCCTGGTCACTCCCAATGCTCCCCCCACTCCCGGCCTGATCACCCACAACTGCCTTTAATCGCCTCTACCTTGGCCCTGCCACCATGGCTTTGTCCAGAAGAATGTCTGGAAGGTCTCCTGGAAGGTCTCCCAGTCTAATTAGATATTACTCTTTTATTAGTATAGATAGAGGCTTGGTGCATGGGTGGGGGCTGGCTGGTTTGCCCTGAAAGGCGTCCCAGATCACGGTGGGGATTCCCTTGGGGTGTGGGACAGCCTGGGTAAGGGGCCTGTGGTTGTTTGTAGGCTGGCCACAGCCCAATGGGGTGAGAATCCCCGCTGGGGGGTGGCCAGCCTGGATGAGGGGCTGAGAGCTGTTTTCAAGCTGGCCACACCCCTTTCAGGATGAAGGGTCCCTGCTGGGGTGCCTGGCCAGACTGCGTGAGGGGATGAGGGCTGTTTGCAGACTGGCCAAGCCCCCCAAAGGGGATCCTCACCCCATAGGGGTGTGGTCAGCCTGGGTAAGGGGCTGAGGGCCATTTTCAGGCTGGCATGCACCCCGATGACCTAGGCTCCCAGCCCCTCCTTGAGCAGGGGCTAGGGCAGGCTGGAAGCTTGGCTTTGTCTGTCCCTGGGAGCAACCCAAGCCTTCTGCTTGATCTAGCTCCATGGCTGCTGCCATCTTTGTTGGATTAATTTGCATATTCACTCCTGATTGGCTGGTGGGCATAGCAGAGTGATGGTTAATTTGCATGTTTCTCTTTTATTAGTGTAGATGATTGTTTAAATTCATTTTTGTTTTGATTGACTTTTTTCTTTCTTTCACTTGGCTATATGTAATAGAAAACCTATCTGTAGTAAGAAGGGGTTACTTTTCCATACAAAACAAGATAGCTAAAGGCAGACGATCTAGCAATTCCATAATTTTATCAAGGATCCAGACTTATTCTGCCTTTTTAATTCACCATCCTCAACTGATAGCTTTTCCCTCAGGCTTGCCTGATGGCTGCAGACCTCTGGCCATCACATCTATTTTCCAGCTGGAAGAAGGACACAGAGCAAAAGATTTGTCCTAGCTGAATCTATGCCTTTAAATTAAGAAAACAATAGCTTTCTCTGAAATCATGTCAACAGAAGTCTGCTATCTCTCTTTGACCAGAACTAGGCTGAATAGCCATGCCATGTTGCAAGGGAAACTGGTAAGGTAACTATTCTTTTTTATTCATGTATCATTCATTTAATCATAATTAGATAGTTAGCAGGACTTGCGTATCCTGTATACATCACATTCTAGCCTTAAAAAAAGATATTTAAAAATGTCTTAAATGTTTTAAAAAGTTATTTCTTTAAAAAATTCAGTTTAAACAGCTTAATTTTAATTGATGTACAGTAACAATTGCCCTTTTCAGTGTACATTATTTTTGAGTTTTGAAAAAAATAAGAAAGGTGACTATATTTAACTGTGAATTACTGATGCTCCCCCAAATTGCTCCATGTTCCTATAATGGAAAAGTACAATTGTTTAACACGACAGAGTAGTTTAAGAAGGAAAATCCTTATCCAATGTACCCAAGCGAGGCTTTCTGAGATGAGATAACATGGAATACAGTTAGAGTGAGAAGGTTCCCCTGAGTCCAGAGGGCAGTTTGCATCTCAGGAGTACCTGACCTTAACTATTAGCTTTCTGCTCTGCTAGAAAACCACCCCTCGTGGCACTTCCTTCCAGGCAAGGATGAGCTTGGATCCAGCATGACAATGGAGGTGGTTTGAAGAAACACATGGTTTTGCTGTCAAGATTGGAGTGAGGCCCAAAATGGATGGATAGATAAGCCAGCAAACAGCTGTTACATGTACATTTTCATTAATCATTTCCAGCCTGAGTTATAAATGATAATATGGAAATTCAAGTCATTGATGATTAGTATCAAGTTTACCATATTAACGAAAGGTCTGGCATGGCCCCCCGATGTGAATACATGATCATTTCATCACTAGCATTTATTGAGCACCTACACCAGATGCTTGCCACACGTTTTCTCATTTAATCAACCACTTGTGTCGTGGTATGCTGAATCTTCTCCGGAACAGAGATAGGTGATTTAGGCTTGATGCTTCACTGTCAGTTTTATGCAGGATGTGCTAACTCACATTTACAGGCTTGCTTGGTAGTCATTGTATAAATGTCTGCTTCTTAAGAAAAAAGAACAAAAGTAAAGTAAGTCAAAAGCATGATCAACATCTTTTGTATTTTAAAAGTAGGTATAATCTATCAATTTTAGGTTTGATTTTTTTAATTTATAAAAACATCTTAACTTACATGGATCTAATTTACAATTTGTGTACTCTAGTGAGTTATCTCCTTAGTGCCTGTTCCCCACTTTATGCATATAATTTGCATATAAAGTTCCTTCATGTTTATATTAAACATGAAATTCATGCGGGGGGGGGGGGAGGGGTCCCCTCAGCCCAGCCTGTGCCCTCTCACAATCCAGGATCTCTCTGGGGATGTTCAATTGCCAGTTTAGTACCAATCCTTACAGTTGGACATTCCTTTTGCAATCCGGGACCACTCAGCCCTAACTGCTCACCTGCCTGCCTGCCTGCCTGCCTGCTCCTAACTGCTGGCTTGCCTGCCTACTCAGTGCATGTCATAGCCAATGGTTGTTCTGCTGTAACGGTTGCTTGGGCTTCGATATATATATAGATTGTTTTCAGTTAACATTATTTCATAACTCTGTCACTATAACTTGGTATTTCTCATAATTTCTGGGCTTCAATTTCCTTTGTAAATGAGGCAGCTTGGCTATTATTCATTAGCCAAAAATGTTCCAGGTCTAATATCCCCTGATAACAAAATATCAGCTATCTACAGGGGAATAGTGGAAATGTAGCACAAGAGTCTTCTTTGGAGAACAAGTTTACTTCAAAACATGGATGCTACTTACTGGGCCATACCTTTCCTGTTGTTCATGAGTCAGCATGAAAAATAACTCCAGAGAAGGCTCCGTAGGTCAGATTTATCTAAGAAGACAGCTGTGTAATCCTGTATCCCTCTCCAACCCCTTGGCACTGCAGATACATGTTTCTGGCTTTTTGAACAACAGTCAAATAGCATTCCCCACTTTGCAAAGTCCACAAGGCCACAACTTGGGAAGTCAGGAGGACAAAATAGAGCTGTGTTTATACATGGGCCACAGCAATTTTTTCTCTATCTTTAAGTCACTTCCATTACCTGCGATACTGGTTGGTGTGGGAAAGACCTGTAGTAAAAAAGTAAAATTATTTAAAAGTTAGTAAAAAAAAAAGTTTTGTGCCAAGACTTTTTACTCAACCTGTTTAGTAAAATCTATTAGGCCATCACTTCCTTTCTGAGTAATATAGTCATAACAGGTCTTAAAAATACATATTGTACATAACTAGGCCAATGAGAGAACTTTCATTTAAAAACAAATTTGGAAGATACAGTTACTGCCTGATTGGTTTGTACAAGTATTCTTGATATAAGAGGCCCCTTTAACATCATGGAGAATCTTCAGATCCAAAGGGCAAATACAAACCTAGAGAATGACATGAAGAGAGAGAGAGAGAGAGAGAGAGAGAGAGAGAGAGAGAGAGAGAGAGAGAGAGAGAGAGAGAAAAGGAGGGAGAAAAGGACATATTGGAATGAGAATGGAGATCCTTGCTAAAGAAATAAGCAGACTGGCCCAGCAATTAGGCTATTTAACCTCGTTTAGAGTTTTGTCCAGACACAGTGTGAGACTGGGCTTACAGTACTGTATTATGTCCTTTAGAGAGAGAGAGAGAGAGAGAGAGAGAGAGAGAGAGAGAGAGAGAGAGAGAGAGAGAGAATTGTAATTGGTTTAGTCCTCCGGCATCCGTCCTGCTATTTGACCACCGCTTTTCCATTGTAGACTGTAAGGCACCAGAAGCAATTAAGTAGAGGATCAACGTAGGCAGACAGGTGTGCCCCGGTCACTTTCCTTCTTTTTTCTACACTGCTCATATTCTCTGAATTTTATACAAAGCTACCCTGGAAGCAGCCAATGAATGGGGGTTGGGGGTGCGGGAATCTGAAGATTGTCAATCCTCCCAGGAGATGCAAACAGATTCCTGAATAAATCTTTGCAAGATATTAAAAAGCGATCTCAGACGTAGTTTTCCATTCTAAGCATCAAAAACATAGGGCTAGAAAAATAGATGTCCAAATATTGCTTCTATTATCCTATTAGCATTAGAAACAGGCAACTTACCACGTCCTCGACCCCCCACCCTGTTGCCGAAGAGGCTGGCTGAATTTTGCAACATGAATTCGAAGGGGAGAGTATTTGCAAGATCTCTGAAGCTATAACATCCCCTCGGAAGAGGCTTCCCCCACCTGTCACCAGCTGGACCGTCTCCACGGAGGGCGCCGGGCGCACCACCGCCACGCGGCGCTGAGGTCAGCCTCTCGGGGCTTGGGAGAGCTCTTTTTTATTCTAAATTACAGACTCTGCAGCCACCGGATATCCTCGCTGCAGAACTGGCAGTAGCCATGTGGCTGCACTCGCGTTTCCTGACAACCACTGCATTATTTCCACTAAATATCCTGTCTCAGGCTGCTCCTCACGCCCTCACGCCCGCCACTCACCCACCGTCGCCCCCCAGCCGGTGGGCAATCCCCCGACTGCGCCCAAACAAAGCGAAGCCCCCAGATTCCCCCCCCCCAAAATATATATATATATATTAAAATCGCACTTGGCGACAGTCCCTCTAAGTCACAGCCGCAGAAAGTGCCTGCGCCCCGCACATTGGGGCCGCCTCTCAGCCCTGAGCTCCGCGCCGGGGCGGGGCGCCCGCATTGTCCACGTTCCCGCACCCGCACCCGCCGGGCCCGCCCCCCCTATCGGTGGCTCACACGCGCGCAGGGCGAGCGGCGCGCCCGCCCGGGGCTGGAGCTGCAGCAGCAGCTGCCGCGGCGGCGGGCGGGGGCGGGGGCGGCGGCGGGGCGGGCCCGGCGGGCGGCGGGGGCGGGCCCGGGGCGAGGCAGCCCGGGCGCCAGCGAGCGGCGAGCGCGGCGAGCACCGAGGGAAGCGCGAGCAGCAGGCAGCATGGCGGGGCCCCGGCGCCCGCAGCCCGGCTGCTCCTGCCGCACCGCCGCGGCCGTGAACCTCCTGCTGGGCGTCTTCCAGGTCCTCCTGCCCTGCTGCCGCCCGGGAGGGGCTCAGGGACAAGGTCAGCCTCGCGCGCCGCTCCTCCGCTGGCTTTTCCTCCCCACCCTGCCCGCTCCCCCCCCCCCCCCCCCCCCCCTCCTAACCCCCCTTCTCTTTCTCGTAGGGAACTGCTGAAATCTATTAGGGGACGAGGGGAGGAAAGGGAAAGGGGCAGGAGGAGGAAGGAAACCCCATAGCTAGAGGTTGCAATTCTTGGCTGATAACATTTCTTCTAACCGCGGCGTGTCCCCTCCCGCGCTCCCCGCCCCCATGCAAACAGAAAGCTGGGATGTCGCGGGGCTTTGGGGGGGACCGTGCGGACCGCTAGCCGCGCGCGCGCGCGCGCGCGCCCCGGAGCCTTTGTGCGCGGGGGACCCCCGGCACCCCGGGCGCAGCCCCCGCTTTGTGCGGCGCGCGCTAGGGCCCCGCCGCGGCCCGGCTTCCTGCAGCTTTGTTTCCCGAGCCCGGCCGCCCGGGACCCATCCTGCAGAGACAGAGATGCCCGCCCCAGATGCTGCGGGATGCGGGCGTCCAGCAGCCCCCCGCGGGGCGGCCTCCGATCGGTGCCCCCAGCACCAGACGGGGAGCCCCCCGGCCCTGCTAGCGGTCGCCTCTCTGTCACTGGGACCGCCGGCTTCCACCCCGTCCATTGTGCTCCTAGCCTGGGCTCCCTTCTCGGGTGGCCTCCGCTTGTAGAAGGAAAAGGGAGTCTTGTTTTTGGTGAGGCGGGTGCAGAGGGGACGATAGGGAAACAGGAAGAGCGTTTCTTTTCCGTGCATTAAAAAAAAACCCACAAAACTCGGTGTGTGTGTTTTTGGTTCGTGCAGCGATTGAGCCCTTGCCGAACGTGGTGGAGCTGTGGCAGGCAGAAGAAGGGGAACTCCTGCTGCCCACTCAGGTGAGGACGATCAGGTGACAGGGCAGGGTGCGGGGGAGGTGGGGGTGGGTGGGGGTGCGAATGTGGAGAGGCCAGGAGGCCGCTGGCCCCCCGGTGGCACAGGCGCTCGGGCCACTTTGCAAGGCAAATAAACGGTCGGGCCAAGCCTGAACACCTGGCAACGGTGGCCTTCCCAGCCTCCGCCCGCGCCATGTGACAGGGCGTGAGTCACGCCCGCCCCAAGTTCAGGAGCTGGGAGCTGAGGCCACCTCAGCAGGGCCGGGCCTGCTGCCCCGAGGGAAAGGGCGGGCCCCTGGGCCAGCTGTGGGCCTGGGTGGGCGAGGGAGGGACGCGTTCCCTGTTCTTGAAGCGATCTGGTGTCGCCGTGTGCGTGAGGACCACAGGAATACTGATTTCAGAAATGCTAGAGATGGTACTTGCCCTTATTGTTAAGTAGCTTTGGGATGAAGATGTGACTTGAAAGGATTGTCATCTTGGATTCCTGTTAGAATACAACTTGAATTTCCTACTTGGGGTTTCCTCCCCAGATAATACGATGATTGCATTTGGAAAAAATAAATACTAACATTTTGTTGGAATTTGTGGCATCCTCACAGGGTTTACTGCCGCAGTAGACACAGTACTGCAAAGCTTTTTGTGTTGAAGGCTTAACTTTCAGGAGAAATTCTCATGGACTGAAGGTGTGCACATGTAAATATAATATTGTTGACTGTTTTTTAGCACGGACAGTAGTGACCCCAAGCACATTTCCCCTCTTTGTGGAGAAGTGGTTTGAGTTATAAGGGGATATTCAGCTTGGGTGCCACCGTTTTTAAGATGTTCATTACCGCCACACTTGGTTCTAGGCTGTCTCTTGAGGCTGTTTAGAAAAACAGGATCTCTAGCTATCACTTCACTGGCCAGGCTGTGCAGTTTTACATTTCCATGTTCTCCCTCCTATGTGAAGCATTTAGAGGGCTGGTTTTGAGATATGTGGAATATTTATTTTTAACCAGGGCTAATAAATAACAGCTTCAAGGCAGAGAGGTGATTTTTAGAGGAACTTTTTTTTTTCTGGTCCTGCCCTAAGGCCAGGAGGCTGAATAAGACCAGCCCTTTGAGAAGAAGCCCCAGCAGGATGGGGAGCAAATAGCCTGCCTTCATCGTAAAAGTTTTTATTCCCAAATGGAGTTTTTCCCTGATTATAAATAACAGATGTGTATTGTGGAAGGTTTGAAACATATCAAAAGATAAAATGAACAAATCAGAAAAGGCTCATAACCCTACGGAGAGAGCCACACTTAGCATTTGGTTTAGTGTTAAAAACATACAATTATATTTGTATAGATCAGAGTCGTTCGGGAGCGGCATGAGTGACATTTGGGGCTGGAGAATTCTTTTGGGGTGAGGGGCTGTCCTGGGCCCTGGAGCATGTCAGGCAGTTAGAGCATTTCTGCCTCTACCCACTAGATGCCAGTGGCACTCACCTCTCCCTCTCGTCCCCCCAGCTGTGACAGCTAAGCGTGTCTCCAGAAGTAGCCAAGGGTCCCCGGGGAGCAGAAGGGCCCCGGTGGAGAAGCCCTGCTGTATAGCTATATGCATTTGCTTTTTTACTCACTTGCAGCCTCTGCCTCTTAGGGGTTCGTTCTGGAAGCCCACCTATGCTGCAGTAAAGGAAAGGATAGGCTCTGATTGATTCTGGCGTTAGTTGAAGATTTGGTCACTCTTGCTGAGAGCTGGAAGTGTCCCGATAGGATTTTATTATAGGCTCAGGCATTGTTTTATGACATTCTTAATTTCTGGCTTTGTTTATATGTATAATACACTTTGTTTTGGTAAAAAGGCCTTAGAATTTAGGAACTGTCTTTCTGGAGTACTCACTATAGAAGCATTTATGTAGCTAAGCTACCTTAATGAAAGCTGTAGTGAAAGTGAAACTGGTATTCAAAGCAATTTTCTAAATACTTCATCTCTATATGAGTTTCTTTTAGGGACTTATCCTGCATATACCTGGGTGAGGTGAGGAAAGATACAGATCTGTCTATAGTTATCTATTTAAACTGCATTGTATGTATATATATCAAAACTGCATAAATATACACACATATAGTATAGATATATCTTACATGTATATAAAAACTACAGAGATCTGAAGAAAGTTATTTTTAGGGAATTCTTCTCAAAGTAGTTTGAATTTTTTTCAGAAAAGCTTCCTCATGTGTGTCATGAAGTCCGACGGGAAGATAATATTTATAGGTGTTATTTAAATTTGCGGGTTTTCTGCTTACTTAGCTTGTACATTGGGTTCCTTTCACTTAGGAAGACCCAAAGATGGCTTCAGAAGCTAAAATTTTTAAAATTATAGTTGAAATAGGAGTATCAGAAGATGTGGCATTTAAAAATCAAATACATTTGCCAACACTAGTTATATATACACAGTTATTTATTTTGGAAATGTTTTCTGTTGATTGGGCCTTTTGTTTTCTAAAGGGTCTCTAAGTGATTGAGAATTTTAGTAATGCATCCTTAGTAAAACCAAATATAATAATTGAATTGTTTTAAACTGCCAGACCCCCCTGGCCAGCTTTCCAGGATTTGACTCCCTGCTCCACCATTTTTCACCTCTCTGACCTCTGTTTTTCTTCACCTGCAAAATGGGGGCAATAATGGAACTGGGTAAGCACTTACTATGTGCTGCCTGCGACTTTGGCAGCATCCACCTGCCCCCCGACGATTTGGTCATTGGAGAGCGTGGAACAGCTTTCCTGCTTTGAAGGGGCTGAGCTGTGCAGACAGCTCAGGGCTGTTCTGTGCCCTCCAGTTGGACAGATAAATGGTATTATTTATATCTTTTTGTTATATGCTCCTTTATTTTGTATAATAGTGTGGTGTAGGAAGATAGAAACTATCCATTGTGATAATGAGAAGGAAGGAAAAAACCGTGGTTTTCTTCTTAGGTTTACAGAATTTGTCCTTTCCTTTGACTTTGCTTCATGTGACCCACGTGTTATCGAAAGTGGTGGTGGTGGTGTAGAAATAGCATGTGCAAGAAGTAATTGCATGTGTGCAAGAGACTGCTTTGCCCAACTTCTTACTTCGCCTTCAAGGTCAAAAACCTTCTGTGATTGCCTGCCATCCACTTGACCTGCTCTGGCTCTCAGGGCCTTCCGCATTCTGACCTTGACAGTTGCTCCTGTCAGTCCTCTGGGACACTTAACGGTACTTCAGCCCGAGTCTTGGCCGAGGAGGCCCAATACTTTTCTATTGAATGAAAGAACTGGTGCTATTGCCCTGCTCTTTGAACAGGGTCGGTCCTTCTGACTCCCTAACTTGGCAGTGGCACCTTCATTTCTCCCTCTGTAAGTTTCTTGAGTGTCTGGATTTTTTGCTTTGTCTTGTTGCCCCAATGTAACCACAATGTTCTGTATGCAGTAGACACTCAGTAGTAGCCCCTGGGTTCTTCCTGGGAGAGAAGAGGCCGTTGTCGCTGTGTTGTCCAGTTCCCCAAATTTATAGGGTATTCCGTTCTGAAGATGGCAGGCCAAATGCATGAAGCATTGGTTTCCTATTATTGTTTCATAACCACATTTTTGTATCAGTTCTAGAAGCTGGAAGGGCAATCTTGAATCTGTTCTTTTAATCCCTTCAGCCTTAGCTGAGATGAGAAGCTTCCTCCGGATTCCCTGGGTTAGGTCGCAGACCTGGGTGCTGAGTAGGAGCAGCTGGAACCCATGAAGCAGACGCTCACTGGTCTGGTCTGGTCTGGGATGGTAGACCTCCTGCTCTGGCAAACACCTTGCAGGGGGCCTGGCACTCGGAGGCTCCTGGGACCTGCCTTTAAAAATCCCACGTCTGGTTAAATTCACCCTCTGAAGCCTGAGTGAGAGTAGATAACGGAAATTGATAGAAAGTGAAACAGGAACTGGGACACTGACTAGGAGACTTCATTATCTCAGGTACTGTGTGATGTAACGGCATCTTGCTCCAGTCAGCAAATCATTAACGGGTATTTGGAAATCTTTTTGTCATAGAGATTTATTTTTGTTTTAATCTACTTCCAATATCAATATAAAAAATAATGGCGAACACGGGTTGGAGACTAACCGGTGTTGTTTAAGCACTTGATGAGTATTATCTCGTGCTAATATGCTAAGAAGTAGGGATTAGGAAGACCTGATTTTACAGGTGAGGAAATGGAGCTCCCAAGTCATCATACCGCTTACCCAAGGCCTTGAGAAAGTGGCAGTGGTGCAATCTGAACCCAGGAGGTGTTTGGCTCCAGAGCCCATGCTTTTGGCCACTACAGCATTGTGTGAATTTTAGCACAGCCTGGCCAGGAAAAGTATTATTGTGATAAAGTTCCTGGGTCTGAGGGAAATAATTTTCAGGTTCTCTGTTTTGATTTAGAAAAATTTGCTTCATGAAGTTTTCAAAAATAGTCATATGCAGTAGTATTTTTAAATTATCTTTATTAAAACATTTTTATTGAGGTATAATTGACATACAGCATTCTATTAGTTTCAGGTGTAGAACATAATGCTTTGCTATTTGTATATATTGTAAACTGATCACCACAGTAAGTCTAGTTAACATCTGTCTTGGTACATAGTCACAAAATGTTTTTTCTTGTGATGAGAACTTTTAAGATTTATTCTCAGAGCAACTTTCAGATATGCAGTACAGCATTATTAACCATAGTCACCATGCTGCACATTATTTACTTATTTTATAACTGGAAGTTTGTACCCTTTGACCACCTTCACCAATTTTGCTCACCCCCACCCCTGCCTCTTGTGGAGGGAGCAGATTACAGGATTTGGTCCCTGCCTTTTGAGAGCTTGGTGTTGCTGGGGAGATAAGGCTGGTAATACCCCGAGATAGCAATCAAGTGCTGAAATGAAGAAACTGAAGGCAGAGTGTATGGGGAGTTGGTGAGAGACATGCATTGGGGCTGAGCCTAGAGCCTCACTCACATGGTTGAAGGCTCCGAGTGTTTTATGCTGATGTTTTAACACAGAGCCCAGAGGCCCTGCTACAGCCTGGCTGTGGAGATTGTGATGGGTATGTCAAGGTCCATTGCCAACCGCTCAATTCCAGGCTAAGGAGCTTGGGATATATCTGACTCGAAGCTGGGGAGCCATGGGAGGTTCTTGAGCAGAGAGTAGCACAGTGACATTGAATGCTGGGTCCACATCCTGTGGGTGTAAGTGATTGATGTTGAGGAAGATTGGCCTTAGGGGACTCCCAGGATGGATGGAAGGCTTACATCCTAAACAGAGCAGAAAGCCCCATCTGTGGTGGTCATGCAGGCCTGGATGGGTGGGTCATTGTGGTTGGAGTGAGGGGAGGAGAGCAGTGTGCTAGTGACCCTAAGTATTGCCCGAGGGTCAAGGAGTACCATAGTGTCTTTGACTTGAGGAGACCAGTTAGAACAGAAACCACCTGGCAGGGGCCCTGGTGTTGGTAGGCCTGAGGTTGGTGACTGTTTCTGGGGAGACAAAGTGCAGGCATCCTGGAGGCAGCTGTGAATTAGTTCACCCACACACGCGGTGGAGTACCTCCCATGTGCTATGCTGACTAAAACCAGGCCGGTCCTGGCTCCCGTGGAAGGAGGGAGGAGGCATTCACTGAGTATCTGTAACGTGTGACTGGGGGAGACGTTGGTGCTGGAGATGGGGATTTGGGCCCCATGGTTTCAAGTGTGGATTAACATTTGGAGGCTATTTGTGTGGAGGAGTCTAGGCTCGGGAGACTGGCAAGGATGGCGGTGGGGTAGGGTTGGGGGTGCGGTAGGGGGCTGGGGTGCGGAAGAGGGCATTGGACAGTATTACCTGGAGAGCCAGGGCTCAGAGAGAAGCTGGAGGAACAGGAAGGGTCCGTGTTCCTGAAGAACCCTGGCAGCAAGTTTCAGTGTAGCATTTAATTGGATCTGCCCTCTGTTTCTGTTTGAAGAGACTTTTTTTTTTTTTTTTTTTTTACTACCTGTTTCATGACACACACGGTCAGATTTTTGGATGGTAAGTCTGGGAGAAGATTTTGGAATCACTTTGGAGTGATTTTATGCCACTTATAACATTTATCAGCCTTCTTACCTTGATGTCAAAATACATCAAGTGTTCTGAGTGAAACATTACATTTTCTACATTTGGGAATTTTAATTATCAATAAACTTTATCTTGTGTGATTAAACGGAAATGTTTAAAAATGCCTTTGGAGAAAAGTGATGTCAAAGTAGTTTTGAGATTATGTTCAGATTGTAATTTTAAACAGGTAAAGTGCTTACAACGAGTACATGAGGGGTCACTTGGCAATTTAGCAGTCTCCGTACTAAAGTTATTCTCTCAGTAAATATTTATTGAGTGCCTGCTGTGTTTCGGCATGATTTTAGACATTCATTACAGAGTTCATCACCCCTGTGAGATCTGAAGAACTCTTGCTTTTGGAGATTTTGTGCTCCTTTGAGAAAACTAAAGCATGTTCTTTTTCGATAGGGTGATTCTGAAGAGGATATGGAGGAGCGTTCTCAAGAACAGAGGTAAGAAAAAGATGGCAGTGAATACCTGATAAATTGCCCTGCCCACTTTGGATGCTATCTGAAGTCTTGGATAAGTGCATGCTTATGTACTTAATATTCTTTGTAATGTACTTCTCTTATTGGCATTTGGGGTATTTGTACTCCTAATAATATAGCCTTGTTTGAAAATAAGGTTGTACAGAAAGCTGTTAAAACACACACACACACACACACACACACACACACACACACAAAACCAACTTCGTTTTTCCCGTGGCTTGCTTACATCCTTCATCTTGTTCACAAACATCTATTGAGCATCATGCACTGTACTGGGTTTTATGCTGGACATAAAACACTGAACAAGACCTGTGTTGTGTGTAGTGGGGGAGTCAGGCATCACTGTAAACAAAACAAAATAGTTTCGCTGTTAAAAGAACTATCAAGGATTAGATTGTTGTGATAGAGAATAATGAGTTGGACGGGGTAGTCAGGTGAGGCTCTTCTTGGGAGGCAACATTTGAATTGAGGTGTGGAGGATGTGCAGGAGCAGCCATGCAGCAAGTAGAGGGAGCGTGCTCTGGGCAGAGGGTGGACAGCAGGTGCAAAGGCCCTGAGGTGGGAAGCATTGCCAGCAATCTAGGAACTTGGAGAAGGCCAGGTGGTAGTGAGATGTGGTAGGACCTTAGAGGTCACAGTAAGGAGTTTGAGTTTTATTATTATTATTTTTTAATATGTGGAGTGAGTTATTAAAGGATTTTAAGCAGCGGGTAGTAATAGAATGGTGTCATCCGCATTTACAAGAGAATATTTTCATTATGAGGCAGTCTCAGTCAGTTGTCAGACAGGGATATCTGGTCCCTCAGAGGCACTTGAAGACTCAGTGGTATCTAGGCACAGGGATAACTCCCAGGGAATCGAATTTTGGATCCCCAACACCCACATTTTCTCAAAAAATTGATCTGTTTGAGGTTGCAAGTTATCCTCTCCACTTGACAAAAGAAAAGCAGCCTTCTCACCCAGCACCGGTCCTACCGTGTGCTTCATCTTGGGCAGACAAAGGAGCAATCTGAACTACTGATATTGGTCAGGAGAGAGTGATCGATCCACTCTGATAGGATGGCAAATTCATTTGTAACTCTGATAGTTTTCAAGTGTTGACTTTCAACAAAACCGAAGGAGGACCCAATCAAATTGGCAGTTGCTAGATCATCAGAAATTATTTTTAATGATAGATCTCTGTGATTTTTGGATACAACATTGAGAGAGCTTAGAGTATATAGGGATAATGCTCCATCAAAGCTCATTTCATTCACATCTATTTATGTGAACTAGCTTTTTCAGTGCTTACACTAAGGAGAAAAAGAAAAAAAAAGATGAGGAAAATGAGATAAAATGGATACTGATTAACCCACCTCATCCTAGTAATAAGTGATATTCACATGGACCCATGGGGGTGGGGATGGAGGCTGTTCTATCTATCTCAGAAAAGGATGCATTTTTCAATAGAATTTGACATGTTTAATTACCTATCAAAATTTGTAAAAAATACATAAATAGTTATTTTTTTTGGTTTGATCAATTGCATACTAATAAAAATATGATAATTCAGAAGAAAAAAATTTAATACTTAGACCTTACAGTCACAGAAAAATTAAAAACAACCCAACAAATTTTCAATTTGTACCCATGGTTTTGTTGCAGAAGTCTTTGAACATAAAGGTAAATGAGGTTAAAATCCTTTGAGAAAACATCCAGCAATATAGGAAAGCCCATTTGTGCGATTTTTGAAAATGGAAGATGATGGATATTATTGCAGTGGTATTTAGATTTCATTGAATATATTTTAAAAAGTGATTGTGAGTCTTATTTTAAAAAATGCCGACATTTGCAATATTAACTTCCCAATGACCATTTAAGTTCGGCATAACATTTTCAGTTATGATAACGCATCTACGGGGCAGAGTTCGGAGCCTGTTACAATCCTGTTGGGGTAAATGGGAGCAAGGGAAGGTAAGGAGGAATGGGGATGCTGTTTCAGGCCAGGCTGGCCCTAGTAGGGGTGGAGGGATATGCAGTGTTCTGAGATGGATGTTTGGGGGGTGGGACAGACCCATTACTCGCTGAAGCAGACGTGGAGAGGGAGGGGAAAAAGAGAAGTTCTGAAGGGCTTCTGGCATTTGGCTTGAGCATCTGGGGAGGTGATGGCTGGGATGGGAAAGGATTTTGTGGGAGGGAAATCAGGCTGTCTGGTTGGTTGTCTCCTAGGAATCTCAGACTTGATAAGACACGTCCACGTGGAGCTGGCAGGTAGGCAGGTGATGATGTGTGCTGAGCCGGGAAGGCCTGGCTGCATCTCTGGGGGTGGGTGTGCCAGCCTTAGACAGCCTGGTGGCATAGGATTTGGAGTTTGTTCAGCTCCTTTTCAAACACAGTTCTCTCTTTTTTTATTAATTAGAATTCATTTCTTTTTTTTCACCCATTTTCTGTCCTACTGGAAAGTATTAGTAGACTTTATCCGTATTGGTCCTTTGGCACAGTGTCAGATTATCAGAGGGGAGGTGAGGGGTGAGGGAGAATTGTGTCAGTGAATTAAAAGAGTAGCTTCCAAACTTTTTGACAGTGACTTGTGGTAAGAAATACTTTTTACATCATGATACTTCTTTTTTTTTAATTTTAAAAAATATATTTTATTGATTTTTTTATAGAGAGGAGGGGAGAGAGATAGAGAGCTAGAAACATCGATGAGAAACATCGATCAGCTGCCTCCTGCACATCCCCCACTGGGGATGTGCCCATAACCAAGGTACATGTCCTTGATTGGAATCTAACCTGGGATCCTTCAGTCCGAAGGCTGATGCTCTATCCACTGAGCCAAACCGGTTTCTGCTCATGATACTTCTTTTTACTTGCTTATCCGAAGGCCTGTTTGAAGATGTATGAATGTGTACATGAATGCTTATTTATTTATACAATAGTGCTTACCCTTACTACCTGTGGTATACTGTTTTCTGTTGTTTTTTTTTTTTTTTGTGGTTAAATGTATATAACATTTATCATTTTCACCTTTTAAAAATATTTTTTAATTGATTTAAGAGAGGAAGGGAGAGGGAGAGAGATATAGAGGCATCAGTGATGAGAAAGAATCATTGATCGGTTGTCTCCTGGCCCCCCCCCCCCCCCCCCAGGGGATTGAGCCCACAACCCTAGGCATGTGCCCTGACCTCCTGTTCCTAGGTCAAAGCTCAACCACTGAGCCATGCCGGCCAGGTCACCGTTTTTAAGTGTACAGTTCTGTGACATTGAGGGCATTCACAATGTTGTGCATTCATTACTACAACCCACCCCCAGGACTTTTCTAGTTCATTAAAAAAAAAAAAAAAAAAAAAAAGCCAGTTGCTAGCCCTGGAGTTTAATCTTAAAACACCTTAACCATAATTCACAGTTTGACCAACACTGATTTATATAGTATTTTAATCTTCCTGATATCAAATATTCCAATATTTTACTGTTACTTTATCTCTAGTTGCTTTTTTTTCACGCCACTTTGTTTTATTTTGGCTTTTTTTGGTTGAGATTTGATTTTTATGCGTAAAGACAAGATCATGACATGAGTTGGAGGCTGCTATTAGAAAATCCTCTTTGTGTAGGTTCTGGAATTCTCTCCAGGAAAGATGTCTGTAAGTGTGATGCCCTGTGATGGTAAATACATCCCCCAAGTACTTACTGTTCATTTATCCCTACTGTGCAGTTGTGATTTCTTTTAAATGAAAAATTTAATACCCCCAAAGCTCATATAATGTCTTGTTACTTTTACTTATTTAAATTTTCATTGTTGAGAATCTTACAAATGTCCCCTTCCTTTCTCCCCTTTGCCCCCTCCACCGGATTCCGCCCCAGACTTTCACTTCCCTATTGTCTGTGTCCACAGGCAATGCATATGTGCATATAGGTTCTTTGGTTAATCTCTTCCCACCCTCCCCCACTTCCCTCTGAGATCCTTCAGTCTTTTTCCATGCCTTTGGTTCTATTTTATTCACCAGTGTATTTTATTCATTCGTTTCTTTGTTCATTTATTTTTATTTTTAGATTTAATTGTTTATAGATATGTATTGATTGCCATTTTATTGTTCACATTTTTTTTCTTTTCCCTCCTCCTCCTCCTCCTCCTCCTCATTCTTGTCCTCTTCCTCCTCCTCCAGTACCCTTCAACATTTTATGTAATGCTGGTTTGGTGATGATGAACTCCTTTAGCTTTTTTTCTTCTTCTTGCTACTTTTAAAATAAACCTTTTGCTTTAGAATATATTTAGAGTTATAAAAAGCTGTAAAGATGGTAAGAACGTACCCATATACCCCTCCCACAGTTTACCCTAATGTTAATGTCTTACAGGGCTGTGATACATTTGTCACAGCCAAGAAACCAACATTGTTAGAGTACCGTGAACCAAACCCCACATTGGGTTTCCATAGATTTCCCCGAATGCCCCTCTTTTTGTCCAGGGAGCCATTCTCTCTAAATGCCACCTCCCTTTCAGTGATTGTGTCCTCTGAGGATCCTCGTGGTTGTCAGTTTGTCAGGTTTGTTTCTGAAACCTTGACGGAGGACTGGTCAGGTATTTTGTAAAATGCCCCTTAGTTTGGGGTTGTCTCGTGTTTTCCTTTGTGGTTAATCGGGGTTCCGGGTTTGGTGAGGAAGACCTCAGATACAAATTGCCATTCTCATCCCATATCACAGGCCTGCCTGCAGCATGGCGGGTCCCTTTGACAGGGACCGTGGTCTCCTGGTCGAGGGACTATTTGTCAGGTTTGTCTGCGAAGTCACCGTTTGTCCCACGGCTTCCCATGCTCTACTCCTTGGAGCAAGTCATGGAGTGGAATTAAGCTCTCCCTGCATACTTTAGATTCCTTTTGTATGGGAGGTTTGTCCCTTCTCCTTTATTTATTTGGTCATTTCCATTGCTATAGACTCCTGGATATTTATTTTATACTTAGGGTTATAATCCAATACTAGATTTGCCC